TAGAATTTCGACATGTCGCAAAATTGCGATAAAAATCTCAATGGACTAGTCAAAATTTCCAGATCTAGCGACAAAATTACTATATAAATTGGCAAATTTGGAAAGTCTGACTTCCTTGATGACAGTCATAGAGAAGGCTATTAAAGTAATTTAAGAAAATAGTTTCTCACGCAAAATTTCACGGGAAAATTAGGAGAAAAGGTCAAAATTGGGGAGCAAGCATAATGAGACGGATCAGATTTCCAAAAAGAAAGAGAATGACAATAAGGACGAGAAATTTAAAAAGAATACAAAATTTTAAACCAAAATTTGATCAAGTTCGGAATTAAGGAATGTTGTTAGTGTGAGGCTGAGGGACATTTTCGCGCGGAGTGCCCCTCTCTATCGATTGAGGAGAGAAGAAACTCGGAGTAGTTGAGATTGACAAGGCGGATTCGATTGAAATTGCAAGCGATTGGCGCTGCTGTGTAGCAGTATCTGACAGCGACAATTAGCATCCCGAGCAGAAATTTTGAACAGGCTCTGATAGGGACTTAATAAGTATGACGCCTGATTAGGGGCTCATCAAGTAATCCTTGTTAGGCCCTGACCGTAAATGTAACGTCGAGAATTAAGATTGCCTGATCAGGAAAAAATCATCAAGGCCAGATAATTGCCCCTTGTTATACCTTATGTTTTCAATAGGGAGCATTAAGAATGTTGTAAAGGCGTTAATAGGGCGCTGATAAGGTGTTTGGTACTTAGATGTGTAACAAAAAAAAATTTCTTTTTTTTATTTTATGATTACATATTATTAATTTTTAGAGTTTAATTTGTGTTTATTTTATTTCGCATATTCTCTAGTTTATTAATTAAAATTTCGCAGGTTATTATAATTTTTGAAAACGCATCGTGATTCGAACCTGAAATCCCTAGTGTTCGTACGCGGAGTAGGCGTGAGCTCGCGCGGAGGCGAAAGCTAGCGCGACGGAGTTAGGAAAGGGAGCTCGAAGAAGGCCTTGATTGAATAGACAGCGATTAAGACGACACAGTTTAATAAAATGCATTATCCACACTATTTACAATTCTCCTTACACTATCTTCGCGGCGGAATAAAAACCAAGCTAACAGAGTAGCACAAAGCGCAGCGCAAGCGGGCACGTCTCTCAGAGAGGAACTTCGAAAAGCTGTCCACGCGCCCCCTCGCTCCTGCTTTTTATTGGCACATGCCCCTCTAGAAGGCTCCCCCCTTTCCTTTTGTCAAACAACGAGCAGGATTGCCTTATAAGGTGATAATTGTCGGAGCCTTGTAGAAGGGCATGATTTGTCATCGCTCGCTTTTGTAAAAAACATGTTTTGCTCGCGCCGTTTCGCGCCGCTCGAGGAGAAGCAGCCCGTGATTGGGCGCTGGTGACGGCGGCGGGCGCTGAGCGCGACCGTTGCCGCCCGCGCTCGGATTTGGCGTCACGCGCGTATGCCGTGATTATGGTCAATCTCGAACACCTAAAACAACAGATTTGTACGCTAACGCTGAGCTAATGACACTTTTTACGAAGGACTTATTTTTTCTGTTATATATATTTCTTTGTCACTAAGTTCTCGCGTCTAAACAAATACTGAGACCCAACACTCAACAGTAACAGTTACGGAATCGCACATGAGTGAAATCTACGAATTTAAACTAAAAATAGAGAATGAGCGAAAATTCAGCTAGAGATTATTATAACGCTCGTTATCAAACAATATGTTTTATCATTGATCGCATCCATGTTTCGATATTTAACACTATTATGAGAATAGGTATGAATATATAGTATATCGCTTATATAAATATTTTAATTAATTCACGCAAAATTTTTAAAACTGTGTTAGAAAAAAATCTTGCTTTTTGAGGTTATACCTCTAAATCAGGCAAAAGCCGGGAGTTTCATATTAGGGCATATCCTACTGCTTCCCCATCAGGCAAGGATCGGGAATTCCATGTCATGGCATATCCTACTGTTTCCCGCAATCAAACCAGAATCGGGAATTCCGTATTACGGCAAACCCTACTCTTTCCCGATCAGGCGTTCGTCATGCATCTAGCATTCCCGATCTAATGTCTGCTCATATCTTCCCTTTCCCCAAGTAACCGTCGCGGTGTGCACACGCGTTAGAGCAAGTGTCGATAGTGTGTATACATGTATCAGAATGTGCGAGCAAGGCAGCTGCACCCGAGCAAGTAACAGCAAAATCTTAGTAAATTGATCTTATTGTATGTTTTATTTTATTATTTTTTTCGAAGACTGCGAGTGCCTCGAACTTGTCTATGGAATTAAAATAAATTCAAACTGCATACAACGTTAACAGGTGTGCTTCAGTGAGTTTTATCTCTATTTCAATATTAACATTCTACATCTCTATTTTGTGTCTTCATACGTACGTATATTCATCTTTCTATCATTATTAATATAATCATATCCACCACGAATACTCTTCTTCCTATATTATTTTTATGTATACTTTCTCTTTCACCTTATTTCCTCGTTCTCTCCCATCTCTTCTATTTTTTTTTTTACACTTATTGCTCTTCTTTCACCTATATTCACTTCTTTTACTCCAAAAACTTATCTCGCTAAAAATCGCAATGCTCGTTAACCGCAAACGTTTTATATGAAGTTTTTATATAAAGAATATTATACAAAGAATAATCCGTAGCTAAGTTGCGTTCCAGGTTATCATTCTGTCCTTGAATGTTTAGAGATAGAAAAGTATAAATAAAATGACGCAATGATAAAATGACGACGACGCATTTCCCGAACGCATCCTGGCCGTTAACTACGAGCCGACTCATACCATGGACATAGGCCGACTCATACCATATTACATATATCGTCCTGATATCGTCCAGCATGAATGTTATGGCTGCCGCACATGATAATGCGAAAGAGAATAGCGATCGTTCAGGTATGTTCATTTTTAATATACATAAATTCGTTAATTTGTTAAATAAAAAATATTGTAGTTAAATATGAAATTAATTAATATTGCCAAAAGATAAAACAAATAATTAAGGCCAACAATGAGCAATTTATTAAATCCAAAGCTAAATTGTCAGTATTGTCAAATGATTATTAAGTAAACGAAAAAAATATAATAATAAAGTGAAATCGTTACAGTGTCAAATTTTAAAATAAACAATTATAATATAGCAAAGTTATATTGTTATAACCGTTTGTTTTAAAATTTGTCTGTGTACCGATTTCACCTTACTTATATTTTTATTTGCTGATTCTATAATCATTAGACAATCCCGTACTGATAAAACTCATATCGTATTGAACTTAATATATATTCGTCTTAATAACGAAGAATCAATTATGTATTAATTTTGTCAATTGACTACCTAATTATATTTATTTTTAAATTTACTACGCTTCAAAATTAATACATTTCATACAATTATAGATTTAGTTAGATTTTACAAAATGTTTAGACGTTTACCACAAGTTATTTTTTATTTTTTATTATTTATTATGTTTTATTTTGTACTATTTATTATCTTTTATATACACTTTTATATAACTGTGACATTTAATATGTATGTACATCAGTCTCGAAATTGGCCTTTAATACCTACTTTCTAGTGATCTTTTTTTTTACAGAGCTCTATTCTGTCAACTTAATTCACTTAATTATAAATTAATAATTTACATGTAATTTTATTCTTTTCTTTTTACTAATAAAGAGGGCTCTGTAAAGTCGAAAAATTTAGTCGCTTAATTTTATACTAACACATTGAATAAATTACTCTTTAACACCCCTTAATAAATTACTAAGTTCTTGGCTCTATTTAATTTAATTTTTGCCTTTGCATAATATAAGCCACAAATATTTTGTTCATTTTGCAAAAAGAAGATTGATTTCATTTATGATAATGGCTATTAAAACAAGACTGACTTTCGATTTGTTCTCGCGGTGTAGTCAAAGTGGCGGAACTATTAATGGATGCAATAGTTAGAAGCGCAGGAAAGGCTGCACAAGAATTACTGAAGAATTACAATGAGGATGCGAGCATTCTCAGCAGTGCCAAAATGACATGCCTGCATGTGGCCGCAAGGCAGGGTCAACGTGAACTATGCACCCTCCTTCTAGATGCTGGTGCTTCTTTACATATGGTCGACGAGAAAGGAAACACGCCTTTGCATTATGCGATACTCGGGTAAACTGGAAGTCGTTGCTGAAACTGCTGTAACGCTGCTTAAACTCACATCGGTACTATATATCTCTTGATTAAACAGCAATCAGCCAGAAACAACGGGTCTACTGTTATCGCGAGGCGCAGCCATAAATGCTCTCAACTACGAAGGAGATAGTGCTCTGCATACGGCTGCGTTGTATGGTTACCGCGAACTCTGCATCCTTCTTTTAGACGCTGGTGCTTCTTTGCGTGTGCTCGACAAGAACGGAAACACACCTTTGCATTGCGCGGTACTGAAGTAAGTTGGAAGACGATGCTAGATCTATCGTAACGTCAAACTAATATTGGTACGTATTCTCTCGTTTCATTAAACAGAAATCATCCAGAAACAACGGATCTATTGATATCTCGCGGCGCAGCCATCAATGCCGTTAACAACGCCGGACGTAATGCTCTGCATGAGGCCGCGTCGTATGGTCACCGCGAACTCTGCACCCTCCTTTTGGATGCTGGTGCTTCTTTACATTTGGTCGACAAGGGCGGAAACACGCCCTTGCATTGCGCGGCACTCAAGTAAGTTTGAAGTCGTTGCTGAATCTGCTGTAACACTGCTTAAACTCACATCGGTACTATATATCTCTTGATTAAACAGCAATCACCCAGAAACAACGGGTCTACTGTTATCGCGAGGCACAGCCATAAATGCTCTCAACTACGAAGGAAATAGTGCTCTGCATACGGCTGCGTTGTATGGTTACCGCGAACTCTGCATCCTTCTTTTAGACGCTGGTGCTTCTTTGTATGTGTACGACAAGAACGGAAACACACCTTTGCATTGCACGGTACTGAAGTAAGTTGGAAGACGTTGCTAGATCTGCCGCAACGTCAAACTAATATTGGTACGTATTCTCTCGTTTCATTAAACAGAAATCATCCAGAAACAACGGATCTATTGATATCTCGCGGCACACCCATCTTTGCCGTTAACAACGCCGGACGTAATGCTCTGCATGAGGCCGCGTCGTATGGTCACCGCGAACTCTGCACCCTCCTTTTGGATGCTGGTGCTTCTTTACATTTGGTCGACAAGGGCGGAAACACGCCCTTGCATTGCGCGGCACTCACGTAAGTTTGAAGTCGTTGCTGAATCTGCTGTAACGCTGCTTAAACTAACATCGATACTCACTCATTTGATTAAATAGCAATCAACCAAAGATAACGGATCTATTGATATCTCGCGGCGCAGACATCCATGCCTTTAACAACGCCGGACGTAGTGCTCTGCATGTGGCCGCGTCGTATAGTCAGCGCGAACTCTGCACCCTCCTTTTGGACGCTGGTGCTTCTTTACGTGCAGTCAGACAAGGGCGGAAACACGCCCTTGCATTACGCGGCATTCAAGTAAGTTGGAAGACGTTGCTACATCTGTTGTAACGTCAAACTAACATCGGTTTTCTCTCGTTTGATTAAACAGCAACCAGCCAGAAGTAATGGATCTACTATTATCCCGAAGAGCGGTAGTCAATGAAGTCGACAACAACAGACATACTGCTCTGCACATGGCAGTTAACAAACAGCACGTCCAATGCGTCAAAGTGCTGCTGCGTTATCATTGCGACGTCCAGCTCCAGGACATGTATGGCTATACGGCGTTGCACTATGCGATCAAGAACAACGCGTTGGATGTGATCGATGCGTTATGCATCGAGAGGGTCGACTTAACATTAAATGACAAGAAGGGCTTTAACATGCTGCATTATGCCGCGTTTGTGGGCAACGTTTAGTACGTTTATCTTAGAGCAGAATTAAGTATAATCGCGTAACCACACTTAATGCGCTCACGTTTGCGTAGCAATAGCTTAGCCCTCTGAAAATTCACTCAATTAATCTAATTTAACTATGTGAATTTGTGAATTTGCAGTGCAACAAAGAGGCTGGTTACACAAGTGCCTCACTTGGTGGATGTGAAAATGAAGGACGGAAATGCAGCGTTGCATCTAGCAGCGTTGAAAGGACACAGAGAAGTCGCGTCTATGCTTCTTTCGCAGAATGGCGGCCTCGCCGAAGTGAATTTGCGTAACAATTTAGGACAAACGCCATTGCACTTAGCAACTTCAGAAGGACACTTGTCGCTCGTCGAACTGCTGGTACAGCATAATGCGGACGTCGGTAATATAGATGTGAACGGAAACACCGTACTGCATATTGCGTGCGATTTAGCCAAGAACAAGAGCCAAAAAATTGTGTCTATACCCGAAAGTATCCGAGATTTACCACTTATACATGCGTATAAGTGGTACGCTGTACGTTGTCTATTTTTTACGTGAATATGTAAATCAGTTGTGTGTGTGTGTGTGTGTGCGTGTGTGTGTGTGTGCGTGTGTAATATACAATATACGTATGTAGTTAAAAAATACGGTGAATGTCAAAATAAAAAAAAACTCATTACATTAAAAGACAAATTACAATTAGATTCCTTCAAAATACTCTCTTACTAATGCACTTATCCCTATCTTTCTTGCTATTTGCTAAAGCAGTACTGGAAGTCTTCTTTCATAAGTGTCTTTAATTTGTGTTATTGTAACTGTCTCAATGTTTTCAATTAATTCGAAACCTTCACAGTAAACTCTAAATGACTATAAAGCCTTATTAGAGCATTAGAACGATGGGATAAATGTATTAGAAGTGGTAGGAGTATTTTGAAGTAAACCAATTATAAAGATCGGAAGAGCACACGTCTGA